TTTGCCCTCAGATTAAACCTGAGAACAGTGTCAGTTTGTGTCTTCTTTGTTACACTTCTTGTAATACTCTCTGTTACAGAGGTGTAATGACCAGGTTCTGCACTCTGGGCAGTAGCAACAGTGGTGGCAGCTGTTTCTGCATTCCCTCTAAGTGGGTGTCTTGGGGCTAATGCCCCAGTCATCCTCCCCTAGTTATGCTAATGCATATATTGAAAATTAGCCTACCTTGCTGGGCTATGATAAGTAGGCATTTTCATTTTGATTGAAGTACTTTATATTATAATTGTCATTAATAAAACATGTTTAGGGTGTGGATATATAGCAAGATTATTACTGAGTAAATTACCCCAGATTTTAGTAAATTTAGCAAATGTACTCTGTATTAAAGAGCTGGGTGATATTACAGGGCGTGGCCACTAGGGCTAGGGACAGAAGTTACACATCAACCAGTTCAAGTAATCAGAAACTGGTTTGAACCTGTGACAGAACAGAGGCTCAGTGCATATAAACCAGTTTCAAAATGGCCAAAACTAGTTTAAGATCAACCTGGTTGAATGCAGTATCAGACTTAACTCATCTGGGTTAAACTGGTTCATGGGACTTTTGTCCCAGACCCCTTCCTGGTTTAAGTTTAAATCAGAGTCCCCCAGCATCCCAGCATGCTTTTCAGCCCTGGGCTGGGCTGTCGCCCCTCTCCCCTCTAGCTGGAGCAGGACCAGGGGTGTGGCCAGATACCAGCTCAGCATGGCCCCCTGAGTTGAAGGGGGCAGAGAGCGGGCTTATTCCCCCCCTCCCCTGTCCTCCAGGACCCCAGCCAGGGTCTGCCTGGCTAGGGCACAGCAGCCCCTCTCAGTCCTTCCCCCCCCACTGCTCCAGTGGCAGGGGCAGGGTGCAGTGAGATGCTGGCTGGCATGGAGAAGGGGGCAGGGAGGGGGTTTATTTCCTCCCTGCCAGTTCCTGCCAGTTCTTTAACAACTGCATGTCAAACCACTGCCTACACAGCAAAGTTAACTAACACCTTGTTAAAATGTTAATCCAATTACCATCAAGACTGCAGGGCTAACAGCTTTGATTGTTTCTCAGTTATTGACCCACCTACCTAGCAGATGTGTTTTCCTACCCAGAGACTTATTGGAGGAAGGCACAAGATTAGGACCCTTCTTAAGGAGAAGACTTCATCCCCTCCCATCTCTGGCAGAGACTAAGTAGTTGATAATGGGAGAGGGAAGGAGAGGAGGAGGTGTGATTCCCCTTAGCTCCCCTAGGCCATGGGGGAAGGGGAAGAGGCTGGGGAACCTTGCTGGTCCTTTGCCACCCATGAGCATAGGGCCAAGCCCTGCAGGACCAGACTGAGAGGTGGGAGGTGTTGGCAAAGACCTGGCACAATCATCACATGTATGTGCTGAAGAAGGAGCTAAGAGAACAGGAAAGGGTCGCAGACACCTTGAGCTAGCATGACAAAAGAGTGCAGGTGAACTACATTTACATTATAAAGCAGAAACTGTAAAAAGCTGGGGACTGGAATGCCTAAGCAAGGACTTGTCTTTTTGGTTTACAGGCAGCCCTCGGACTTACGACACAATTAGTTTCTGAAAACCGTGTCTTAAGTCGAAACGTTGTAACTCGGAACCAATTTTGTCGTAAGAAACAATTTTATAAATGGGGGATTGGTTCCTGAACCAAAGTCCAATACCCTATTTTCTCTAAAAATACCCCAGAATTTTGTACTTGATCAATTATAGATGAGAAATATAGCTGCATTGATGTATTTTTATTGTAAATAGCAACCATATTGATTTGGAAGGACTTCTTTGAGGTGACTTTGCTGGACTTTTTGAAGGGCTCTTGGTTGCACTTTTTGAAGGGTTCTTGCCTGAAGTCTTCTCAGGAGTCTTGGCTGCAGGTTTTTCTGGAGTCTTGTCTGCTTTCTTAAAGAAAGTGTTCTAGGAAGGTTGGACCCATGTTCTCTAGGGAGATGAGTGATGCAGCAAACTTGTTCACTGGCGTGGCATCACATCGGATCAAGCGTTGTAAAGTCAAAACTAAAGTTGAAAAAGGGTGTCAATTTATAAATGTTTTAAGTACGAAATGTTGTAACTCAAAATGTTGTAAGTTGAGGACTGCCTGTATTACATTGCAGTTAAGTTAGACTAAATGTTGTGTGTGCTCTTACTGGGCATTTATATGTATACTTTTTGGTCCCATGATGAACCAGAGGTCGAGTCTGCTCTGCACACAAACTGATGCACGTTGCGTTGCATTGCGTGCGGTTGTATAAGTGGCGAAATACATCTCAGTGCACAGAAAATGGTGGTGATGTGCTTTTGAATTAAAGCACCTTCTTTGTGTTTTTGTTCAAAAGTGCACCACCACCATTTTCCCAGTGCCGATGCACGTTTCACCACTTATACAACTGCAAACGTTGCTCTCTGGGAGCCGCTCTAATTAAAACTTGCCCCCAAACCAACCAACCCAAGAGCACATGTACAGACACCCAAAAAGACTAAGGGAGTGAATACACAATATTTGTTCCCAAGTAGCAAAGATACATACATGAGTTATTTTATTATTTAGTTGGGATGCATGTCACCTGTCCACTCTATATAGTAAACCTGTTGTGTGCCCACACACTTATATTTGTAAACATAACTGATTATGGTTATTTTTATTTTTACATTTTTTTATTTTTGTGTACAATTTGAAATATTCTGAAGTTGCATTTATTGTTATAAATCAACCCACTACTTATTGTGTTTTTTTTCTGGTTCTAAAAACTGTTAAAGAATAATACAATTGTGTATTTTCAAGCAAGTATTATATTTGCAATAGTATTACTCAATGAAATAATTCTGTTAATTGGTTTTTAGAAATTTTCTAAGGAAAGGAGTGATAATAAAAAGTAAGCTCTCAAGACATGGTCATTAAAATATTTTAATTTACTAAATTCAAACCCCTTTTCAGTTTACAGGCAATTTTATTGTTCTTATACTTGGGATCCTATTCTGACTTAACAGCAGTTGTGTGGAAAAAAAAAATCATCTTACTGAAATAAGATTCTGCCTTTTGAGCTGCTTCTTGTTACGTCATTAAATAAAATTAGTGTAACTGCACTGAAAGTTCCCAGTGTGATTTTGCTGACATTGTTTAAAATCTCAACTAGAGTTTCTAGGGATATCGCTTGGGTTTCTCCCTTGGCTTTCTTGGTCAGATATGCTACTAGGCAGCCTCCAGCTGAAGTACATATTAAATGTAGTTCCACAGTCTTTGTGACGTACTGAGCATTTTTGGTTCTAGGTCGGCCTGTGCGAGTCGGCAGCGATCTGATCCGGCTTCGGATCTGGCTGCTTTGGATGGTCATGATCCAATCCGGAGCTCCGGACTGGGTTTCCGCTTTGGAGATCTGGCCATAGGGTATAATGGGGAATCAATGAAATATCTATAACTTTGTTGTTTCTTGTCTGATTTGGATGAAACTTGCCAGGGTGGTAGCCTCTGCTGAGAGCATGAAATCTGCCAAGTTTCAATAAGATCGGTGGAGGGGTTTGGGAGGAACTGTACCCCAAATTCTTGAAAGCCAAACTCATGTCACGGCTGTGTGTTACAACCTAGGGGGGTCAAAACTGCTGGGTTGGTGGCCCCTGGTGAGGCCACAAAGCCTGCAAAGTTTCAAGGAGATCGGTGCAGGGCTTTGGGGGGAACTGCACCTCAAGCTGAGGACAAGCAAAACTCACGCCATGGGTGACACTGCGTGTGTTAAGGCACAGCGGGGTGACAGCTGCAGGGATGGTGGCCCCTGCTGAGGCCATGACACCTACCAGCTGTCGAGGAGATTGGTGCAGGGGGGTTCTGGGGCCATGCACCCCTAGCTGCTGACAGACAAAACTCGTGCCAAGACTGTGTCCGTCTTGGGACAGTTGATTGTCTGTCTTGATTCTTTCCTCTCCTTAGCCTGGTTTTGTAGGTGCTAATTGATGCTCATTAAGTCATTATGTAGTAGCCAGGTCCTGTGTATTGAGCTGGTCCCTGAGTCCCTGGTCCCTGAGTGAATCATGATTAATTGATTGGTAACTGGTAACATGGCAGCTTAGCAGCCAGGCCTGCAGCAGTGTCTCCCCTCCCTGCCCCAAGACAGACACAGTCAGTCCCACAAGCCCCCATGGCACGAGTTTTGCTTTTTTGCAGCTTGAGGGGCAGTTCCCCCCACCCCCTCCACCGATCTTCTTGAAACTTGGCAGGCTTTGTGGCCTCAGCAAGAGCTACCAGCCCTGCAGTTTTCACCCCACTATGTTGTCACACCTAGATGTGACATGAGTTTTGCTTTCAAGAATTTGGGGCGCTATGCCCCCCAAACCCCTGAAGTGATCTTCTTGAAACTTGGCAGGCTTTATTCTCTCTACAGAGTCTACCATTCCTGAATTTCATCCAAATTGGACAAAAAACAACAGTTATGGATATTTTATTGTTTCTCCATTATGCTTGTCTTAAACAGGAAACAGTTTTTCTACCCAGAATAGAAGAATGGGGCTGTTGTAATATGGCTGTTGCTTCTTTTCACAATATCTGCTGCCTGGGAGAGGGGCAGAGTCCAGCGGGGGTGGGAGGGGGGTGGAGAGAGTCCAGCGGGGCAGATCCAGCAGGGCTTCAGTGGTGCAGTCATACTCTGCTTTGATTCCTGTTTCTCCTAAGGTTTAAAACCAGCTGTCCCAGGAACAGTAGGAAAGCCTGTAGTAGGAAAGAAAACCAGGACAGTAGGAAAGCCTGTAGTTTTTATGATGTGTTCAGGATATTGCAGGACATGGTGATAATTACTTACTTGTAGACCAAGACTGTGATATTGTCCTAGGGCTTGATCTGGCTATTGGTTTCAGTGACTTCAGTAGGAGTTTGACTGGATTGTAATTAACTGAACTGGATTGTAATTAGTCTCTGAAATGGACTAGCTCAGTTTTCCTTTACCTGGGCATTTCAATCATGTGCTTAATATTTTCTTTCTTTTATAGGTCACTGGGGACGATGTATAGGTGACTGTGGGTCTGGTGGCATTCGGAGTCGTGCAGTGTGGTGTGTCCATGTAGAAGGTTGGACAACCCATCATTCAAACTGCGAACAAAGGGACAAACCTGAAAACCAGAGAAGTTGCTTTAAAGTCTGTGAATGGCACCTTGAGCTCTTTGAGTGGGAAGTTTCAGAATGGAATCTTTGTGTGCTTGTTCCTTTTGCTCATGGCGAAGTCAAACCAAGGACTTCAGATTGTGTGACTGCACAGCATGGGCTACAGCACAGAAGTGTACATTGTATTCAGAAACTGAACAGAACTATAGTTGTCAACGAAATATGTGAATATTTTACACCACAACCACCTATAGAACAAGCCTGTCTAATACCCTGTCCCCGGGACTGTGTTGTATCAGAGTTCTCAGAATGGTCTGGGTGCAGCCAGGATTGCGTAAAGAGTTTACAACACAGAACTCGTTCTGTTCTCTCCCCACCTCTCTATGGTGGTTCCCAATGTCCAAATCTTACGGAATCAAGAATGTGCAACGTTTCTGTCTCTTGCTCTCTTGGGGAAGAAGAATATACCTATAGTCTTATGGTTGGACCTTGGAGTAAGTGTAGACTGCCTCACCCTAAAGAAGTTAGTTTGATTGGAAGAACCATGCTGGACTTCAGTTCAGATTCTACAGAGCGAAGCACGTTCAGACTGCAAGTTTACAAACCACACCATCATTCCAAGCCATGGGATGTAGAGCTAGGTTATCAGACTAGGCAGGTTAGGTGTATAAGGAGTGATGGGAAAAATGCAATGTTGAGGTAAGGGTATCTTTACACTTATCTTTTTTTTTTTTTGATCAAAAACAGAGTTGCATGTAGATAGCTGGTAAAATATCAAGTTCATGGTAACAGAACAGCACTTACAGATTTGAGTTATAATTCCAAATTTTAACGTGCTTTTCTTATAGTCATGTTTCGCTTTATTTCCCTTTCTTGTAAAGGGAAAAGGGAATTAGCTGAATATTTTGCATGCTTCTACAATGTGTGACTACTTATCTGCATTTTATGTTTTTAATGTGTCTCCTTTATAAGTTCTCAACCAATTTTTGTTTTGTCATTACAGAAAATGGAAGCGTATATCACTTTGTGTGTTTGTTAACAACGTTTATTTTTTGCTATGAACAAATCTTTTTCAATATTGTATTGCTTCTGTTAGATTGGACAGACCAAACTCTACCTCGGACTGAACCTCTTGTATTCTCACTGATAACAGAGAGTCCTTTTTAGAATTTGGTTCATTAAATTTATTAAGAAAACAATTTTTTTTAGCAAAGTTGCTTGAGCTAATGAGAAATTAATGATACTATGATTTTATCTTTATTTAAGAAAACTTAGTGGTTTTCTCATGCATGTGAAACCCTTGGTGATGCCAATGGTAGGTATGTAGGTGTATGGCAGAGAATAAGCTTATTTTTCCTTTCTTTCGTTTTCTATTGACTTATCTTTTCGTTTATGCTGCCTAATCATTTCTTTTAGTTCATGCAGTATGGATTCCTATAATTTCACAGTCAAGGTTATAATACTCTACAGCAAGTAATGGAAAGATTTATTTTCCATGTTTCTCATGTTTAAATATAAAATACCTTAGCACAGCCATTTGACTTCAGATTGAAAAAATATTTTTCAATAACATTAGAAGTTCTTAAAAATCTGGTTCCTGAATTTCTCAGAACTCAATGCATTTCTCAGTAATCTATAGCTCCTGGCACATACTCAAATTCAAATTGGAAAGATAAGGGTTTATTTTATGTCCAGTGCTTTGCTACTATTAATGTCACTGGCAGGTTTGCACAGGTACTGAGGTGAAAATATGTCCTCTAGACTTTTTTTTTACTGTCTTCTATTATATCTGTAGCAAAGTACAGATATTTTTATTGATTTGAAAAAGATGTAGAGTCTCCAAACTATTCTGCAGTTCCTGACATTTCTACTGTGTTGCATGATTCTATAGAACCCAATTCTGACTGATTTTATTTCCATTCAACTTCCTTGACTTTAACAGAATTCATTCTTATTTATTTCACTGTAAGCAAGATTGGAATCAGGGGCATGGACACTCGCATACAGTTGTAAACTGACTTCCTGACATTTATATCACACTCTCTATCACAAACTACACATACAGAATTCTGACTTTAAATACACCAGTGTGTGTGTCACTGAGATCCCCTTGGCAAACTCCCATTAGGAAAGGGAAGGCTGTTCTCACTATTGCATCCCCTCATGCTGATTCCATTGTGGAGGAGAGGTGCAGATTCAATAGATGGTTGATGCTTCTTAGAGTCCCCATTGCTGTTCAAGAGATGCTCTTGAAACAGCAAGGGGCTCCTAGTTCTGGTCATGTCACCTTCTTGTCCATTCTCTCTTTTTTGACCGTGATAACCCATTTGGAGGTGAAGCTTAACTACTTCAACCTCCTAGTGCATTGTGCTATGCTTTATGCTAGCAGATGCTGAACCTAGTCCATAATTTACTCTTACCGTCTTCATAAAATGAGCTGCTTTATTGATTTGGAAAGGGGCTAAGGGTCCTGTTGTTTTATAGTGCTCAGTTTGTCACACACTTCATTGCAAGATATTTTTTTACCCTGTTACCACTGGTAATTCTGTAATTGAAGCTAGAAAATTAAATCCCAAGTACATGGCATATCTGATACTAGGGTAAAATGTCATCACTACTAAAAGCCCCTGACAAACTCTCCCTTAATAAAACGTGGTTCATTAATGTCTAACTCATTTTATTGTGCAACATATTTTGCTGTCTTTCTTTTGAAGAATGGGCCAGATCTTGCAGATGTCACTTTACTATAGTGATGATATTTTGGATGCTGATGAAGAAGAGAAAACACATTTGCATAACCCTGAAGCAGACTTTGGCAGGCAGCCAAAAGTCTGCTGTAAAACTGGAATGAAAAAGTGTGCTTATTCTTTTTTGTGGCCAAGTTTTCTTGTTTAGGTACTGTGTTGAATAAGCACTGATGAGATGCATCTTATCTATGGGGAAAACCGAGGCAAGTGAAGAAAGTATCACAAGATGTCTGAACTGAAATCTCTCAGCATTGCTTAATTATTATGATAAATATCCTAAGAATCTCACCACACTTGTTAGTCCCACTGCTGTCTAATTATTAAAGAAAAATGCCAGGTAATGCAAGTACTCAGCCAACTCCCAAAGAATATTTGAGGAAAGTAAATACCTGTTGGTCTAATCACAAACTTTAGAAAGTTGCAGGCCATATAATGCTGCACTGTTAACTTGGGGCGTCTTTCCCATTATCAAAGTGCTGTATCTCAGGGGCAGGCAAAATGCGGCCGTGGGCAAAATGCAGCCTGGCAGGCCATTCCATTCAGCCCGCAGGGACCCTAAAAAAATTAGAAAATTAATATTTATCTGCCCCTGGCTGCCTGTCATGCAGCCCTCGATGGCTTGCCAAAACTCAGTAAGTGGCCCTCTGCCCAAAATAATTGCCTGTCCCTCCTGTATCTGGTATTGCTCAGGTTGATGCACAGTTCTTATTGAGAAGACTTATATGAGTAATGCTTGCATCATCAAACAATATTTTTTCAAAGATGTCTTGGGCATAAATAAAATAATATCTTGAACAATTACAATGAATTAAAAAAAAAGTATTCTGAAATAGAAAAGAATCTCTTTTTGCCTAAAAATGTATTTCGAGAATAAGGTCATGAAAGTGGTTTTGAGCACTCTAAAGGTGAAGAGGGTCAATTCTTGCAGATGCAGGATTAGTGGTGGGAATTTTTGCTTTTTAATTAATAAGCTTATAGTTCTTGCTTATTAATAGTCTTTTTGAAATGGCTAAGTGGTATGAAACTTACTTGCCTGAACTCAGATTCATTTTCTCATTGATTACTGATAATTAACATGACTAAAGCCAGTCAAAAGAAATCTCTCTTATAAAGCATTGTTAAGAGAACATTGTTTTCATTTAAATAATTGGCCCTGTAGGGATTTGTGAAACTTATATCCACAAGTGCAAGAGCAAAATTAATATGCATTGTAAAAAGAAAAGCCCTAAATTAGAATTATTTCCAAAGGTGTTTAGGTGGATGAAAGAATATATACACCTTGACTTATTGCAGTGCATGGTTTTCTTAGGAGTTGTGAGCAGACGAAACAAATATGCTGAGTTAAACTGAGGGAAAATACCACATTTCAAGCTGATCCACTCTGTTTTATATATCTTGTACATCACAAAGTGAGCAGAAACTAAACCCTGCTAATCATCCAATTATTTCATTCAGGCTCTTGTTTTGCTTCCACTGGTTGTGAGATAGAGAAGACCTGGAAATGGTTACTGGGGATCAGATGATGCCTGGCATGTTCTTCCTTGACTTTCTTTTCCCCCTCTTCTAACTAAGTGCGATTGTTTAATCTGCCCGTTTTCAGATTGAAATAGGAGCATTAAGAATAGAGCTGGGTGGGAATTTTTCATTGACACATGTTTTAGTCAGGGAGTACTAGTTTGTCAAAATCAGAAAAGGTTCAAAGGAAAAGGTTGGTTTGCTGCATTTTCCATTTTGAAATAAAAGCACTGTTTTTTGTTTTTTTTTTTTAAAAGAAAAGTTAATTGGTTTTGGTTGAAAACAGTTCTAGTGTAGAAACATAGGCAAATTTGTGTGTGTGGGGGTCATTCCTTCGGAATCGGAAAACAGTTTTCCAGCTCTAATTATGAAAACAATGTGCTGTATTCTTCTATTTCAGGGTATTTTCAGATATTTCCATCCTGTTTCATATTCAAAATGTGTGCCTATATGTCTGTGTTTAAACACAAATCTGAATAATTCAGCAAGAATATATATGCTGTGTGTCCTGACTACCAGACTAGGAAGGCATTTTTGCTCGCTGTCTATTTAGACATTTAAAAAAACCCAGCTGCATTGGGAGGGGTTGCAAGAATGCCCACACAGAATGCGATGCAAATGATGTGGATTTGTCCCTCCGGAAGAGTTGGGATGTGAACTTCAGTCTCCACAAGTCCCTTCACAAATGAGTTGAAACACAATGCACCTTTTTGGAATTCAGCAAGAATTTTTTAATTTTTTTTTTTAAATTTGGTCTGAACCAATTTTTTTCCTGTTTTTTTTTGATGTTTCAGGGCTGACCTGGAAAAGCAAGTACTCACTCAACCCTAGCTATAAATGCATAACTAGGTAGAATAAATAGAACAGTTTCCATTTTTAATCCTGTTAACAGATTCATAGCTTGTATTGTAGTGACAGTGAACATTTTTGGAGATTGCTTCAGGTTAGACAACAAAGCTAATTTAGCCTTGTGCTCAGTCAAATGTCTGAGTGAAATAAGATTGGAATTTAACACAATATTTATCTTTGAGCAGTGAAATTACATGTTTAGTTTATGGACTCAAATCAATGTACTTTAATGGTAATGCTTGGCATATTTAGGTTTATTCATATTAGCTTGCCCTAGATACATCTGTAATGCACAAAACCATGTCTGGACTCTACCTAAGAGGGAAGGGTGTGTTTATATTTTGGGGTTCTTCTGTATTACAACTGTTTTGACTTCAGGCCTGTGAACTTGTACATACCAGCCATTTAGGTTCAAATTCTAGCAGGTTATTTCATATAGTTATCTTCTAGAAAACATTCATCTAAGCAGCTAAAAGATTAAGTGGAAGTTGTCAGCTCTACTTTTCATTCCCTCTGAAATGAGTGGATTGGCCTTCCCGTGGGCCTTCTATGAAAGAAGCAGTGGACAGATGTACCAAGGAAAGAAAT